TTCACGTATAGTGAATTTTAAATGTCGTAAGCTTTTTCATAATAAATTCGTTATAAATCGATTTTTGTTCGATTCATTTAATTTCTCACCGCTTTAATAATAATGATAATAATACTAATAATAATAATAATAATACTAATAATAATAATAATAATAATAATAATAATAATAATAATAATAATAATATTAATACTACTAATAATAATAACAATAATAATAATAATAGTTGCATTTGATTGAAAAGTATTCAAATTAGGCTTCGTTTTAATTTTCTATGTTGTTATTCTTTTTTTTTTTTCTAAATGAATAATTACGGCAATTTCATAGATTTTGATTGAATGCATTTACTATGACTTGCATTCAAGTCGCATTAAAATTTGACGGGTAAATAAATATTTTAATAGAAATAATTTTCTATACAAGATGAGTATAGATTTTATAAAAAATTAAATTAAATGTTGATTGGTTGGATCTTTGATGAAATTTAATTAAATATTGATTGCGTCATTAATCTTTGGGCGTGTGAAAACTGGGAATGAAATAAGTGTTTATTTGTTTTTTTTTGCGCATAGGTCATCTTCATATTGTATCATTTATTTGGTAGCACTACCATGTAAAACCATTTATATTTGCATATAATTAATATGTTTTAATTATAAGATCGAGTTGTTTTTTATTATTCTGTACTTTGTCCCACAACGTTGGTACGATTATAATTTTTGTTAAGATAAAGGAAAATTTTTTAACCAAAGATTACGTTACTTTTTCTTTCCATGTTCGTAAGATATTTTTTTTACTTTCCGATACAAAATAAAAAAATAAATAAATAAAAAAGGAAAGAGAAAAACAAAGTAGATGACAGATTTGTGCAAAAAATATATTTTTTGTTACTATGGTAGAAATAAGTGAAATATTCGTTGTGCATTTTATATATGACAATTACTTTTACGTACAATTGAATACGCGGTCACACTTCTGAGCGTTAGTAAAATTAAAACTTAATTCGGTAGGATCGAATTATGCAATTACTGTATTGGTATCCGTAGACAAAGTTAGTCACGTTTTCGCGAATACGTGCCGGAGATTCAAATGAGAAGTTTGTGATGTATATGTAACTAGTTTCGTTTCGCGATCATTATAAGAGACGTGTAGAAGGAATTTATAATTAGTTAAATGTAAACGTTAATAAGAATTATTAGTTATTTACACCATACGGTCTTTCAATCTCTAAGATATGTTAAAAAAGTCCAGTCACTTGTGTCTCAAAAAGTAACATCATATATCAAAAATATCTCTGCAAAAAAACAATTGAATACATTTTTAATAAATTTTTATCATAATTTACAGTATATGTTTTATAAATTAAGTAAATATTACAGTTTACCACATATACAACGAGTATAACACCTAAAACATTTATAAAATACATTAAACAACTCTAGTTAGACACAAATATATATCGACAAATATAACAATCAATAATCCTTAAAACATTTAGAATAGTTCGATTATTTATAAAAAGTAAATAAAAATCTAAAATACTATAGAGCTTGATTTAATCCATATTAGAAGAAAAACATCATTCGAAAGAATAATAAACGAAAAATAAATTATTAAACAGAATAAAGTATTTATTTTCTCTCTATAGTACTATCTACCTATTACTGGAATAATCCCTTCAACATCTTCACCATAGTTCCAAATGATTATCCAAATGATAAATCTCAAGGACAAAATCAACATCAATTTAACAAAAAGCCGTTATATTGAAAATTTTGCCAACTAATCAGAAAGCTCTCCTAAGAATAGAAGAAACTGTAGATCTTATGATTAATTAAAACAAAAAGAACAAAAAAGGAAATTAAAATTAATTAAAAATAAATAGCTTACAAAAAAGAAAAAAGAAGATTTTATAAGAATAATAATAACATGAGAAAAGATTAAACGTTTTTTCCTTATTAACGTTATAAAGAAAGAAAGAACAAAATTCTTGACGAAAGACGTTTAAACAAGTTCAGAAGTGTCTGCTATTAGAGTATGTTTGTCTTTCTGCTATTGCTGCTGTAGATTTTGTAATATGTATTCCATGTGATAGTAATAAAACTATAAGAGTGGGGAGTTCGATGGAGGGTCAGAGTGGGGACAATAGTATATCGTAGAACGAGCTTGCGCGCCGCATTGCACGGCCGCAGTCGAGTCATTATGCAGGTACTGCCTGTCACTTTGGCTCGTCGTGACCGCAGACCGACATCGCCGATTCGAGTTCTCTCCCTTTCCTTCTCTCTTTCCCCTCCTATCTCTCTCTCTCTCTCTCTCTCTCTCTTTATTTCCCTCCTGTTCACCCTCATTCTCTTCCTTCCCTTTCTCTGTCTCTGTCTCTTCCTCTCTTTTTGTTTCTCTCTTATTCCCACTTTCAGCTTTGACAATTCCAAGGATTTCGTCACCGATACCATAGTCAAGTCATTGAATATGTTATAGCGTCATTAATGATTCTTTTTGATATACGATCGAGGGTAAACAATAAACCAGGAAACCTGTTCGATGTCTAAAGTTAACGTTTAAACAGAGCTTAATTTCTCTCCTTTGAATTAAATGTAACACGAATAAACATTAATTTCTATCTTTATTAACTTATTATAGATAATCTTTTTATTAAATATTTATTTAAACGATACGTTGTTGTTTTATTTTTCTTCATTCTTTTTCTTATTTAATCGAGATTTTAATTTACTATTGTAATAATTATTTTGATACTACGTAAAATTTGATTCGATGTACAATTTCTCCTTACCTATTACAAGTAAACAAGTCTCATATTTTCTTTATAAGTAATTGAGAATCGAGTTATAACAATATACCGAGAATACGATTGAACGAGGTCGATTGTTTAGCTAATTGGATGCAATATGTGGTCATGTAAAAGTGCATTGATATTGTGTTTCGGAAGAATCGATTTTAGTATATATTTATATACTTGTGCATGTAATTGTTGTATACAATTTCGATATTAATCGTGCATATCATATTCTATGGAATGTCGTCTAGTTTAACGTAATTCAAATGGAAGGGTAGACAAAGGAGGGATTGAAAGTTGAGGAAGGAAAGGGGGAGGAGGAGGGAGTTCATAAATCGCAAAATCAACTAAATCCTTTTTATAGGATCGAGTTGCGTGACTGGAGCTTTCTGACCTTTAAGATTTCTTTCACAAAGTCTATTCGCGTATATACGGATATATTGTATGTCCGAACAGCTTCTCTGTGTGTACATACATATGTTGGTGAGTATAGAAACGACTGATTCACGAGTAGCTCGTTTTACTGGCACGGTCGGGGTTAGTCCGAGTAGTGGTTGGCTCGTACTACTAGCATCCGTGTCCTCGTCTCGGTCAAAGGTACTATCGATCTTTTTTGTCTTTCTCTTTTTTCCCCCCTTTTTAATCACTTTCGACCGAACTGACGTAGTCCTTGCGGATTACGTCCCGAGTCGATGAAATTGAGAGCAATGGAAATCGGGCGAATCGACGTTATTGTTTACGCTAAAGTTCTTTTTCGTTCTTGTAATTATTTGTCTTCCATTATCGAATAAAATTTGATATTATTAAATATATATATATTTAATAATATCAGACAACACAAAATATTTTATAATTAATTATAATACTTATTGCATCTCGTAAAATTGTTATAGGTTCGGTGAAGTTAAATGAATTTCATAAAAATTTCCGAACGTGATTAATATACAATGAAATTGTATTATGTGATATTATATTTAATTAACAACTTATTAAGGATTTTATTAACGATACAGATATAATATATATCCTTAATTCTGTTAAGTTTTATTCTACTACTCATATTATTATTATTATTATAAATATAAGAAGAGACAGGCTGTCTAATTGCAGATAAACACATATATAGAACACGTTCCTTTAACTTCAGTTGCCCTAAGGTCTCAGGTTCAACTATTTCTGCAATCCTTTCTAATCCCTCACTTTCGCGACAAAATCTTTGTTAATGTATGAGATATAACATTAACATATTATACCAAATATATAATTACATAAAAGTATTCGTATGTAAAGATTTCTTTTTGATAAAATTTTTAATTTCTTTTTCAAGATGTTAAAAAGTTCTTTTATTAATATTACTATTCCCATAAAATTCTATTAAAAAATGAATAATTCAATTTATGCAAACGTGTACATTCCTTTTGTTAAATACCGATGTTTATTTTTTTGTATAGACTGTTGGATAAATAAAATTGTAAGATTAAATGGAAGATAGTACTCAAAAGATGATCTTCAGAAAGGTTATTCTTAAAGTCGACCTTCAATCGGCTATAGGTGAACTCTCGATCTCCGACCTTTTCGAGTAGGAAAGTTCGAACGGTGATCCAAGTTTGAAAGCACGCTACTCAGAAGGGCACATTGGTCGAAAGAAGAAGGGTTACTGGTCGGAGAGGTGAAGAGGCGAGTGTGCGACTTCCGCGTAAGCGACCTCGATAAAAGGGGTCTCGAAAGGAGGTCAGTTCTTTCTTCCTGGCTGTGTGGCCGGCTGCTGGCCGGGGGTTGGTACGTTGGTTCTCTCTTTCGGAATGACTCGGATTCRTTCGTCTACGTTCGTATTGCTCTCTTTCTCTCTTTCTCTCTTTCTATCTTTCTCATTTTCTCTTATTACGGTTACGTATGTCTCTTTCTCTTTCTCCCTCTGTTATCACAGATTCATATATACGTATCTCTCTCTCTCTTTTTCCTAACTACACGGACGTATATATACATACATGCATACATACATTTGTCCCTTTCTCTCTCTTTCTCTTTCCCTTTGCCTTTCGGTTGCGCAGGGGATGGTGAAGAAGAGGGGAGAGGTTGAAAGAAGCAGGGGTTGTGCGCGCGCGACGCCGCAGGTATCGCGCGCAGGAGCCATCGTGTGCCGACGCCGGCAGGTGGAGGTGGTGGTTGAAGGTGAAGGAAGGGTGGAGGGGGGTCTCGCACAACGGTTCTCGTTCGTATGCTCGGCAGAGCCGTCGTCATTGGGCGTCGGGACGTCGCGACGACGCTCTTTTCCTCTCTATTTTTATCTCTCTCTCTCTTTCTCGTATATCAACTAACACACGCACAAACACGCGAAAATTCTTACTTTCTCTCTCTCTCACTCTTTTATGCTCACCTAACCCAAGGCGATCGCGCGCGCATTCGTTGAACGTTTCCGCGCGTGGATAAACGCGCCGTTCCGTTTCGTTCCGTTTCGTGTTCTGCTGCTGCTGTCAGTTTGCGATTAGCGTTCGCCGGTGCACACGCGCGCGCGCGCGCATCAACGCGCACCAGTATATAGTGCATTCTTTTCGGTTATTTCGGAAGTTTTATCGAAATCCTGTGTCATCGAGTAAAGTTATCTATTTACAGTATATATACCTGTATATACGTATATATGTATATTTATAGAAAATTACTTACTATTTATAGATTTTCGTTTATCTTGTTGTCAAATACGGATAGTGTTTAAAACATATTTTTATTCGTAATAGCGAATAAACGTACGTGATATATAGCTAAATATATACATACATATTATATTCATTGATATTTCAGCGTCGGGTGCATCAGAATCAGTGCGGCAAAGTTCGCGCGGATTTTAATCGTGCGCGAGCGCGCGCGCGCGCACACGCGATCGCTCGTGATTATTATTTCGACTCTATTGCAGAGATCCCACCTCACGCGAGGTGGGAATGAACGTTTTGTTCTGTTTTTATTTTCTTCTTATTTTTCTTTCAACTCACGGTGGTGTATAATAATATATATATAATAAATACATATACGTATATTGGAAAATAATTGAAAAAATCGATCATTCGATTATGATCGTACGATATTTGTAAGCATCGGTGTGCCGGTGAATCAACCGATGGGAGGGAAAAGAAGTCTTATTGTCGAGTTAGTTACGAAGAATGTCGATACTTGCCTAGATTGTCCTTTGGACATAGGCGATATATCGTGACAAGTGAAGGAGAACCTATCGCAAGATGGGACGGCCGACGTTGCGAGGATTGAGCGACGAAGGACAGATCGTTTTTGTCGCTGTCGCCGTCGCCGCCACCGCCGTCGCAGACATCCTTCTCGAGAGAAGACTTTCGAAATTCGAAGAAAGGATCAAGATCTCAAAATTATTCGGGAGAGGTTGAAAATAATCGAAAGAAGTTTACGGATGAAGCTCGATAAAGAAGTTGGTAGGAAAGGAGAAGGAGGTGGTGTTGGTGCTGGTGCTGGTGCTGAGGGTGGAAGTAGAGAAGGTTGTGAAAGAGGAAGAGGAGGAGGAGGAGGAGGCAAGGATTACCTTCCAAGAGGAAGGACGAGAGGACGAGTCATGTCACATGTCGTTCCTATGCACCTGCCACGTTTCGCGCCAATCGGCAAATTTCTCGTCGTTGCGATTCTCGTGCTATTTTCTTGTGCTACTCGTTTCGCTCGTGCTAGCGAATTTCCTGAAAGAGAATGCTGCGTCTTCCCAATACCCGAACCTACAGGAAGATCCACAGCCGCACCTATACCGACCGGCAGAAGTGGTATGTTTTATTTCATTTTTTTTTTTAACACTAATCGCTAATGTTAAACTCCCGCTCTAATTAGTAAATATAACCACTAAAATTTTATAAGAATTATATAGAAATATGATAGCTCTATGATACATTATTATTTTAATTATTTTTTTCATTATAAAGTATCTGTTTTTACCATATAGAGAATGAAGCATAGAGCGAACAAAATAAACCAAGTTTCGATCGACTGTCATGCATAAAATTATATCGTCAGAGTTAATTTTAGCAATCAAGTGACGCAACTACTAAATCTAATTTTATAACGTAAAAAACAAATACATTTATACTTATCAATCATTATATGCCAAGTGAATGGGCGTATGAAAAAAAGTTGTTTCGTTATACTATAACGATCAACGTAAACATGTCTATTTTTTATATCATTTTTGAAAAGTTCAACTTTTATATTTTACAATAATATATACCTATACATCGTAGGTTATATCATATTTTCTAATTTCCCGCCAATCACGTGATAGCTTCGACCGTCGGCTCGTCTTACAAGTTAGTCCTTCCATTATCATGCATTAATATCATTAAGATTCTATATTAATTTTATATAGAGCCCGAGTAAATCTATATATTTCACTAACGATCGATAAAAGAATTCTTTTAGTGATGTGAGTTAAAAAGGTGGTTGAAAGTTGTAAAGTGATAGTAGAACCGACGGAATTATAATAGAACGGCTTGTAGGTACTACTGGTGTCAGTCGTGAACTTCGTTCGAGGTTACACCCGATCGAAGGTTATATGTTGTTGTATATAGCGTTCAAGAAGTTTCGGCAAAGGACGTCATTTATATACTACGATAGAACTCTTTATCTCTTTTCTCTCTTTTTCTCTTTCTATTTTTTCTTTGTCTTTCTCTGTATCTCCTTCTCTCTGTCCCTTGTGACAAGTCGTTCTTATACATATATAGAGGCGTATAAAGGGTGAGACATGTAAAACAAACCACCCGAACATCTTTTATAGATTTTTTTACAGACATTCTTTGTAAACTACTGCAAAATTGTTATATGCTGATAAAACAATTTTTGTTTATCTAGTATGACAATGTTTATCTCATATTTTTCATTTGTTTCATTTTATATGAAATATATTTAATGATAGATATTTGGTTGATCAATCTTAAATGTTTCACCCTATATCAACTATAGTATATTGGCTCAACCACGCGACGCTACCCTCGAAGTGGGGCGTAAGTAATGAAAACCGATCAACCTTCGGCTCTCCGTGTAGGATGTTACATCGTTAGCGCGATAAATGCTTGGATAGAGAGCTCTCTCTCTCTTTCTCTTTCTCTCTTCCCTTGTACTCTCATCCTATTCGAAAGATCATAGAATCATGTTACCATTTATAACGGAGCATTGCAATAGTTCATAATAATTATAAATGATCCTCGTTAACGATGAGATCGGGTATACGGATATCGATTGATGAAAGTCGTAGGATTGTGTATAGATCATGAAACCTAAATTCCTTTTTATAGAATGAGTACAAGGGTAACGAAGAAAAATTATAGATCTTTAAAAATATCTTGTAAAATAAATATGTATTCGCACTTTTCCTAACGTTTTAAATAATATAACAAATATTTTGTAAGTAATATTACGTTCTTTGAAACTCGTTAATCATGAAATCCGTGTATTTTTGATTTTTTCCCTTAAACTTGATCAGCGATATTTTTTTTTTATCTTCTAAGAAAAAAAACCCGTTTAAGTATATGGATATAGAGTCGGGAGAAATAATCTTTAGATTCGTTTTTTCTCTACTTCCATTTTCCTTTTTTTACTTTTATCTTTTTCTTTTTTTTTTGTCACGGATGCGAAAATGCAGAAGGAGATGAAGGCGTCCGAGCATTTAAAAGAAAACACCGTCAAAGAATAAAAGTAAGCACGAAGTGGAGGTGGATGAGGAGACGTTAGAAGGCTATTTGTCTGTGTCTGTTCGTGTGTTTATATGCTTGTATTTCTCTGTGTGCACTGAAGGGTCACAAAGATGCGCTCCACGCTTGGTGGCATGTCTTCGTGTATTTTAAACGTCGGAAGACGACTCGTGGCGGTGGTGGAATGAAAATAAGTACACGCGGACGAGAAAGAGAGAGAAATAAAGACAGACAGATAGAGAGTGGGGAGAGGGAGAGAAAGAAGAAGCAGATAAATTAATACTACGAGAGTACGTACGAGAGGGATATAAAAAGAAAACTACTAGGATATAACGAACGATAGAGCAAGAGAGAAAGAGAAAGAGAAAGAGAAAGAGAAAGAGAGAGAGAGAAAGAGAAAGAGAGAGAGAGAGAAAGAGAAAGAGAAAGAGAGAGAGAGAAAGAGAAAGAGAGAGAGAGAGAAAGAGAAAGAGAAAGAGAGAGAGAGAAAGAGAAAGAGAAAGAGAGAGAGAGAGAGAGAGAAAGAGAGAAAGAGAGAGAGAGAGAGAAATAAACATAGAGAAGAAGGAGAGATAAAGGAGTAAAAGAAAAATGAGTGACAGAATAAGCAAGGAGGAAAGGGATAAAAAAGTGGCCTATTGACGTTAAATCGTACGGTGAGGCGCTTTCAAACGTCCCCACTATTTTCATGCGACCTACTTTGCGAGCCGTCCCGTAACGAGGTTGCTTTCGAACAAATTCAAAGTGCCTTCAAGTTGGTATTCTGGCTCGTTCGCTCGGCAATCCCGGAATTTTTGAACGGGCAATAACGTTGCGTCACGTGCCTGCGGGATTTTTCGCGTCTGTATTATGCCTAGCTCAATTTCACCCATACACAAGCATCACATCGCACACCTTCTCGCTTCCTACCCTTTTTTCTTTTTTTTTTCTTATACTTTTTTTTTTGCCGGCTGGAGACGTGTTCCTTCAAAATGGGTCGGTGCGAAGACTCGTTAGTCTACGAAGACGAAGACGACGACGACGACGACGACGAAGACGACGACGACGAAGACGACGACGACGAAGATTAATCGTCGTCTTCGAAGAACGGTCTTGGTCTTTCTAGTATAGTAAGCGTTCACCCGAGTCTTCGTGTCGTACTCCTTACCTCAGCTATGCGTAAACAAGAAACGCTTGTCGCATCTCTTAGCGCGCTATTAATCATTATAATGCTAATGGGGGGAGGTAGCATAATGATTCCGATGGTACACCGGCATTACGGCTATTAGCGCGTAGTCCTGTATGCAGAAATTACTGAAGCTACGGCATACCGTTAGCCCACCGTTAGAATTTACACTCCTTGCTCGACGTCTCGAGATTTATCGTCTCTCTCTCTTATCCTACTGAAGAAAAGCATATAACTTTGGCACGTAAGTAAATAATTACGTACACTTCTCCAGTTATACAAAAACATTTCATTTCGTTCTAAAGTTCATTTATTTTTTTTGTCGAATGCAGAAATATTCTATACTGCATATACGATTATTCGAAAATAATTTGAATATTAAATTTTATTCTTAAACGATTATATTGTAATTATTGCATAGAATGATATAATTTTTATTATTAATATCACCTTACCTGTACGTCTCGAATATTATTGTACTCTTATTATTGCAATTTCGACGAATTATATGAGAAAAAAGTTCTTTTTTGGTGCTGCGCCGATATTAATGAGTATAACGAAGAAAATTCGTGTCACGAACGAGATTTCGAGCCCGTCTTTCGATTTATCCTTCCTACTTGACCCGGTTTCATTTCTTTATTTTTAAATGCCACTCAAGTTGTGTTGCCTTTTTCAAAACTATCATTGCTACTTGTATATATATCTTCGACAAAGAAATTATTAGACTTTGCGCAATTTCTCGTTAAAATATCTAATTAATTGGTCTTCTATATATAGTTATCCGTGTTACATTTTCCGCTTTCCTTTTTGTAATAGTTAACAGAAAGAGAATGAGAGAGATAGAGAAATTATCAATTAATTCGAAACTCACTTTTTGGTGACATCGATTTGATTTCTCCTTATTCTTTTTTTTTTTATTTTTTCCTAGTGCTGTTTCATGATAATTTTTCAGATCAAATTTGAAAATATTCATATTTGTCCTCTTTTAATTAAAACGTGTAATTGCTTTTTGATATATATATATATCAAATAATATAAAATTAATTATTAATATATATATATATATATATATATATATATTAATAATTAGTAAAAATGCCGTAAGATAAAGTAGCATTTATTACACCATCAAATATCGTCCTTTTTATTCGTAATTCAAATCGTCCCTTTAATTTGCCCCTTTAATTTGTCCCTTTTAAACAAAATTTTTCATTAAAATCCATTTTAATTCGTATTCAATATAATTTCTTCTTTTCACGATAGATATAACTACCGTTACTTTTTCATCTTTCTTTAATTAACAATATCTAGACGACGTTTAGGTGGCATTTAATTTGTTAAATATTCTCAACAGTGCCGAGAGATTAATAACATGCTCGTTAATCATTACGGAAAGCGGGTCTCACGTGTTCGCACAGAATCAACTCGTACGGCGTCATCGTCCATGCTCATAAACAAGTCTACTGGCTGGAATTTCTTCTACGATGAGCGAGTGAAATAGAAAGAGAGAGAGAGAAAGAAAGAGAAAGAGAGAGAGAGAGAGAGAGAGAGAGAGTTTCTCGACTCGGTTTTTCCGTTATTTAAGCCCTTTTTCCTTCTAAGCGTGTGTTCGTAGAGAGCATGCGCTCTCATAAGAACTTTTTCACTCGACGAAAAATGTTTACTTTACCTTTCCTTGCCTGCTACCTACTACTACTATTACTACTACTACAACACTATCATCACTATGTTCTTTTTATCTTTCTCTCTCTCACACACACACACACACACACTTTTTCTCTTTCTATTTCTTTTTTATGCATACATACATCCTCTAGCTGTGTTTCCTCTCGCGATGCCTCGAGACTTCTGGCATATATTGTCGAGTCAAAAATCAGAGAATGTCGATACACGTTTACGTAAAAATCGAATTTTATCT